ATATCGGGGCACGGGGTCTTTTGCTTAAGCCACTGACCTGGTAAGGGCAAAGACCCTAACTTAAGTTAGCTAATAAACTTTCCTAGTGCATTTGCATTGTCGTGTGTTGGCATATTCCTCTCTTCCGAGCATCTCCTTTATAGCCTGGGTACAACAATACATATGGTTGCAGTGAATTGGAGCTGACTCAGTAGCACCTATCAACAACATACACATGATTATATCATCTTTTGGGAATGTTTTTTTTTGTTATGTTAATTACACAGTGTTAACATAGAGTATATTTTGAGTCTATCTCTTTTGAGGTATGGGAGAAACACAGTTGGGGGAAGACAGATGCCATGCCCCATGAAGATCAACAAACAGCCAAGGAACACTGGACGTACAGATGCTCTTTCGGTTCTCTAGTGCTGCTATATCAGAAATACCATAAGTGAATGGCTTTAACAAACAGGGATTTATTCTCTTACGGTTTAGGAGGCTAGAAGCCTGAGTTCAAAGTGCCAGCTCTAGGGGCTGGGCAAAGGCTCTTGTTTCAGATCCACTAAAGCTAGAGGCTTTTTCTGCTTCACTTAGTTGCTGGCCGCTGAGGCTGACAAGCCCAAGATCATCAAGTAAAATAGCAGAGTCCCAAGATTAGTAGACAACACAGCAAGCCACTAGTTCAAGTCCTGAAACAGTCCCAAGATCTGCAAGGAATATGGCAGGCCACTGAGATGAAGATTTGGCCAGATGCAGGATCTAGATGTGCCAAATGCTAGAGACCTTTCTCAGAGCTTCTCCTTGTATACTGGAAGCAGGGCACATGTCAAAGGCAGTAACTTAGCTGCTCACAGCAGAGGGCACCATGGAATTGATTACCAATCTCATTACTGAGAATAAATACATCCAGTTACCCAACCATTCAAAACCACAACCTACCCAAGTTGACGCACAACCTTGACTACCACAGATGCTTAAAAGAGAAAAGGGCCCTCCCCCAGAACTGACAGAAAAAATGTCTTTATCTAGATCCAGTGCCTCGAATACAGACTTGTAGCCCCATTATAACAGTGGTTAAGTGCTTGACTGCTAACAGAAAGACTAGTGATTTGAACACTCCTCTGACCCCCTGCCGATACATGGGGAGAACTTTGTGACAATCTGTTTCCATAAGGATTACGCATTGAAAACACCATGGAGCAGTTCTAATCTGTCCTATAGGATGGCTATGAATCAGAATCAACTAGATGACAATTAATTTTAGCTTCCTAAACAGTGAGAAAATATATTTGTTAAAGCCATCTACTTCTGGTACTTCTGTTATATCAGCTTTAGATAACTATTACCATTTACCTGTTCTCTAGGCAAAGTAGTGTTTAATTAATAAGTAGTAGTATGGAAGGAAGATGGGGCAATCTACTTCCATAGTGATAATGCCTCAGCAACCCAAGGAGAGGTCGCTATGAGTCAGCCGACTCGACGGCACATAACAACAACAACAACAAAGTATGAAGTATAGATCTTTATTCTATGAAATCTGAGAATGCTTATATTTGTATTACTTTCCACTCTTTCCATAAACTCAGGACTAAATTTGCATGTAGATGTGACATATTCATGTACTGTCTATCTTCAAGGGAAAAAGAAGCTGGGGAGTGTGACAGGAAGACTGATAAGAGTGCTTGGAATAAAAAGAAAGGATAAGTTGGAAAGTGCACTGATTATTAGATGTTACACTTGTAATGAAGGAGTTCTTTATCTTGGTGCAATGATAGTTGGTGCAATGATACATCCACATTTACTATGAATGGTTTCCCAGTCCAACAAGGGCATGTATTAAGACTAACACTATTTATGATCAACATGGTGGCATTGAAGAAGAAGAACACATAGAGAGGTGCATGGGAGGTACAGACAACATGCACACACAGTACTGCATTGTCAATGAAGGGAAACATTGGTCTATAGGTAGATAGATGGGTGGGCAGGCTGAACTATTATTAGGTATGTCTATGTAGGAGGAGTGTGCCCATGACCATGGATAGGGTTGGCAGACAATGTTTCTACAAGTGTATTTGTAAAGGGACAAGGTTGTAGTC